AGAAGCGAATGCCTGGTGGGGTATTAACCCCATTGCACCCAGGCATTTACCACCAGGCTTGCTCCAGTGGGCGGTCGTTCTTCATGAACTATCGCCCATTGCACACTGGGCGTCACTGGTGGAGACGCGGCCCAAGGGCAGCACCTCGCGCCGTCATGGGGCGGGCGAGGGGCTGTTCGAAGGCTGCGGGGTGTCCCTGTGGGGCGCCTGGTGGGGTGGCCCATTCTTCTGGGCGGCTGCTCGCGGGGGTGACCTCCGGTCTGCGGCTATGCAGACTGGTTCGGTTCGCCTCCGCTGGATGCCAGCAAAGGGAAACTTTTACCATCATCCGCCTGCCTGGTCGTCCCACTCCCTAGGGAGAGGGTACGGAGCCACGCGGGACGGACTGTTCCCTGCCGCCCGGTCGGGTGGGGCTCCCCGCCGGGGGTGCCCGCTGGGACATAGAGGGTGAGAATAGAGAGGAGAGGAGGGCGGAGGCGATCGCCCGGGCATGGCCCTGCTGGCGAGCCTCCACTCCTCCGGTGTGTGGGTTAGGCTTAGGAGTCGTTCGCTTTATGTTCCCTACATCGGAGGAGAGGACGCGCAGCGCGTTGGACGAGCTGGAACCGAACCGGGGGGATTGGTCGGCGAGCCCCCCGGCCGTAGGATTCGCCGATAAATATACGAAATGGAAATGGACCAAGATAACGGAACAAAACGGCAGGAGTTCGGATGCCTGCCACGGTTTCCCGGGGATATTGTCCCTGCCCCCGGGCGATCGACCCCCGTGGCTTCGGGCCCGGGGGGCTCCAGAGAAGGGCCAGCTGTGGAGTTGCCGACGGGCTCCACAGCGGAACCAGCTACCGTCCGGGTGGAAGAAGAGGGAGTAGATGGGGTCAGCGTTCCATCCACCACTGCGGAGGCAGAGGAGAAGATGGGATCGACGCCCAAACCTAAGAAAAAGGAGTTGCGCCTGCGGTTGGAGAGTGCAAACGTGGTCTCGATCACTGCAGATACCTCGGCTGTAGGGCTAGCCGGAGGTGTCCCAACTTCGGCAAGAGAGGAGGCGCCCCTCCCAAGAAGAGGGAGATCGGGAGCTGTTAGGTACCCCAGAGAGACAAGAATAAGAGTTGTTGAGGGAGAAATTGTGAACTCCCCAATAGCGGAGAGTGTCTCTGCTGGCACACCAGTTTTCAGCGGCCCTGGTGGCGGGACTGACGCGGGCGAAGCGGCATGCAGCGCCGCCAGTGTGATCGAGGTGGAGACGGAGCAGGAAAACACCGGAGGAGGAGAACCGACACCCTCTGTCTCCATTGAGGACACGGAAGAGGATCTGTCCTCTTCGTTTGATCAGGTCCCCAGGAAAGGGAAGAAGAGGGGGCGGAAGCCTAAGGGCTCAAACTGACCAGGGTCGCATGCCCTGTCCAGACTCGGCTCGAGGCGTATGGACTTCGAGGACGACGAGTTGGATAGGGTCGACTTCTTTAAAATACCTAAGAGGGGCGGCCACGGGCTAAAAAAGCGGAGAGGCCTGGAAGAGTGCCAATTAGATGATAGGCTCTCATCTCGCCAGAAGGACGCCATAGAGGAGGTTACG